AATGTGCGTGGTGATCATGCTTTGATCACGTATCCATCTTTGGGTTGATTTTTCTGTTGGATAGATATAGTTTAAGTGAAATTTAGCCCTTTCTCCTATCAATAGATAAAGATTTCCATACTTATCCAAACTCTTCTTTGTCGGATATCACATTATAAAAATCATTTTTACTCATATCCTTTTCATATTTATAGTGATTCTCTAGGCGATATGAACTCAAATGGTATAATGAAATCATTCGCTGATGATACCACTATTATATATTTCTCCAGACAGTTACGAAAAAATAAAAAAATATGATGAAGAATGATGAAAATATGAAGAATGATTCAGAGATTAAATTCTCATTTAGCTCAATGCACATAAATTGAGGTTCGAATTCTATAAATGCTCATATATAAATATTTCTCTAATTAATGCTTCAAATAATCGGACTATATTTGATCATAATTCTATTGAATATACAAAGACAATGAAATTTCAAAGTTTTTTCATCGATGAGGAATTGGCATGGAATAAACATTTTGAAAATTACAAAAAAATCTTTTATTGAATTTTTCTACATGATTAGAAACCTTTATCCCTAATTTTTTTTAAATATATATATTTCAGTCTCAGCGAGAACAGCAAGTAAATCTATGATCAAACCTATGAAAACCTTACAAAATAAAATTATCAGAAGCATTTATAAATTACCATATTTGGAACCAACACTGAACTTATATACACCAAATTCTTAATTGGACTTAAATTCACTCTATTAACACAAAATCAGCTGTTTTATTAATTCTGTAGAAAATAATAAAAAGAAATCAAAATTGAATTTCATTCGAATTGGACATATTCACAAACATGTCACAAAATAAACCAAATTACTGTCGAAAATTAAAATACAAACAAATTTTGGAAAAAAGTCGATATATCACGATGGGATCATTGTATTCAGTTCAATTCCAAAGAATATAAAGAAGAACTATTCCATTACAAAATGTAAATATCAATTGAACAAAAATGTAATTAGTGGAATTTCATAGTTGGCATATTCTATCAACACTTGAATTCGTTTTCAACATGTACTTTCTGAGATCAATTTCATATTTGACTGTATTTCATTGTTATTGTTTCAAAGATATGTTATTTGTTTATATATTATGTCTTATTTCTGTTATTTTATTAAACTTTGTTGTTTGTTATTGTCCCTAATTATGAGCATTTATTATTTATTGGGATAATGAACTAGAATGGTATCAACATATATTATTAAAAGTATTATTATTAAAAAAATTATAATATTCAATTAAAATTGGCAATCCTTCATAGGATGAGAATTGGCAATAGTGTTTAGGAAGTACAGAAATTGTTTTTAAATGTCATTCTTCTCATAGTAGTTCTATGGGACATCACGGACAGGTAGTATATATAGTATAACCTATTTAATCTCGTGTGCTGGCCATATATGAAAGTTTCATTAAGAAATTTAAGGACAATTTCAACGAACTACATCTTATGATGCATTATTTGGAACTTTTGGTGAAGTAATGAATAATACAGGAGTTTTATCCCAACACCAAACCAATATTTTAACAATTGAATAGAACTGGCCTATACTTGATGGAAATCCATATTTAAACTCATTAATACAGTTTATTGTACATAGGTACGATAAACTGTATTAATGAGTTGCGTTATTTCAACACCTCGACACGTTTTTTCGATCACCAAGTAATCATCTTCAAGAGGAAGATTGAGTTAGGGAAACTATAGAATTTATAGATTCCCTAACTAACTAATCAATAGTATAGATTATGCTGTAGAAAATTCCTTTCGATATATATGTCGCTGTCACTCACTCTCCATCCAGGTAGGGGTACACCGTGAAGGGCGGTACTGATGTCTGAGGACATTAATCCCATAGTCAGTTATCTCATTTGTCCTTCTGACAAACGCACGCCGTAAGGGTCAAGGAATCAGGCTAAAACGTATTTCAACTAAATAAGTCGATCTATTGAACCTCACTCAGTATATAGGACTACATTGAGACGAATTCAGAAACAAATCGCCGCTGTATTAGCTGGGATATCACTTGATGACGAAAATAATTGAGATGACGAGTCAGAGAATGGGGATGAAGTGGCTCCCAATAAAATTTCACAAGAGGGGGAAATTGTTGAAGTGACTGTTGGGCTTATTAGAAAATAGGCGAATGTTGAAGCTGACGAAGATGTCGACGAAGATGCTGATGTATTAAAGAACTAGGAGGTCGTGTACGGGATTAGGTATTGTAGGCCATTCATCTGAAGTTGATGGAACCTTGATGATCGGCCGCCGCGTAGGGCTCAGTGGTGGAATCCACTTCTGGGTATGATACTGCCATATTTGAGACAGCTGTTCTACTGAATATTACATCCCCCCCATGCCCCCTCCGGGTTGAGTGCCCTGAAGAAAAATCTTATTCACACGGCTAATGTGTGCAGAACATCCCGTCTCGTCCATCCACCCCCGCTCCTCCGGATCGGTCCTCAACTTACTGATGGGCACTTCAGCAAGATTGACATCTGACTTTCTTTAGTCGAAAGTCAGCCTCTAAGTGCTTTTACTTTCTTATCTGTTGAATTGTTATATCATGACTTTCCTAACTGAATTATTGCATGGAATGCCCAAAAACTAACCGGAGACGGGTGTCTTTTTAATCGTAGCAAGTGTTGGTTCTCAGCGAATCTGAAAATGAGATCAATTTGAAGTCTGGCTAGAAATTTTTATACTTACCCAAGCCGCCTGATAGCGACTCTCGAGGGTGGTCTTTGGTTCTGCTTCGTTGGCCTCCTGGGTTTGTCCCTCTCTCGGAATCTGGGGCAATCCCTGTTTAGTGCGTTATGTAGATTGCTTAACGCTGGGTTATCGTGCGGTCGAATTCTGTCAAACGTGTTCTCTGCGTGTTTCCTCATGTATGCGTCTACGAGTGTATGTTCAGGTCTAGATTTCGGAATATGTACCTATTCCGTACATATCTTGGAGCATTTACAGCGGCCCTTACGCACGCGTTCATAAACTACTGGATCTGTCTTCTGTCTGTCGCTGCGCACTGGCCCCATGCAGTGCAGGCAGACAGGATTATCGGTAGTATTACGGTCTTTATCATCAGCAGCTTCACTTTCAGTTCCATGTTGCTACTTCGACCTATTATTGGTAATCGGTTTTGTCGGGCAGAATATTACATCAGATACAATCTTAGATTAGGTAATTGTCTAAGGATACAATAGAACCTATTTCTATACTTTTGAGGAAGAGTGGGGAGGAGTGGGGCAGGAGTGGGATGATATGTTTACAAGATGAACGTTAAAAAAGACGCAATAATTATTTTACAAAATATAATTATGAACATTTTGACAATTTCCAAGATAAGTATAAACCAAAAATGATAATTATACGCTGTGATGGAGCAGTAAATGTGTTGAATGTTACCTATTGATATAATGAATCATAAATTCGTATTGATTATTGTTTTTTTAGTTACCACCAATTTGATATGTCTTTCTGGAACTCTCATCAGTTTTCTTCTGAAAATCAAAAATATACTATATTTACTTGAGGTATCTTGTCCAGTTTTCTGATTTTCAAGAGGTTTACTCAAAATTTCTTCATTCGTCGGAGGAAAAAGCCAATTTGATAATTTCGTTGTCTTGAAAGCTCTTCTGAATTTTTCATTAGTAACTCCATAAATCATTGGATTGATTGCGGCATTCATGAAAATGAGATATTTCGAAGTGAACCATAACGTATGATAGAATCCGGTAACCTGAAAATTAAAAACAAGAAATGAAAGAGTTTATTTGATACCCGCTCATAACGAACAGGTGAAATCATTTTTGATTCAGACAGAACGTATATATTTCAAATCCATTCAATCAATTCAGTATTAAATTGGAAACGAATGAAAGCCATATGATGTGCATAGATAAGATAAGATCAGAAAGATCGTAAAGAATGTTTCTAGCAACAGGCATATTGTAAGGTGTAAGCTGTAGATATAAAGCGTGAGGGTACAAACACATCGAAAACAAATACCGGAAATGAATAAAAAAGAACATATCAAGTGCCATTTTGAACATACTGAATGTAGTTATCATTGATTGAGTAAAAAGAGTGGCTCCGTAATTATTCCTTCAACTGTTCAAACATTTATTTATACTGCACTCATTACGACTTGTCTATATTGAAACATCAACTATTCATACACTCAGTATAAAGAGAATAAACGAACTGGAAAACACTTATTAACAATAAAAATTATCAACAAAGAAAATTCTCAAATCAAAACCATAAATTCACAAAAACCTTTCAAATTCTATGATTCAAACTCATTATCATTGACGTCAACGTCAAATTTGCTGTCACAATATCATTGATGCCAAGTTTGTTAGCAACCGCAACTTCCCCGTTTCTTCAGGTATCCCCTCGTCCATAGTCGACTTTATATTTCGCAACCCGCCTATATAGTAACCTTGGGATATCGCAAATATAATGTCGAATTGTTAACTCTCATGCGCTCTACTTACACTTGGCTAGACTTCTTCTGTCCATAGTTAACAGAAGCTTCGTCCGTCGTTTAAAAGAGTTGCCAATTATACAACACCAAATGCACCCTTTTAAGTCAAATAAAATACGGACAATAGATAATATCGGTTAAGGATGTCATTTGGAGCACATGTATTTTTTCTATGTGGGCTACTCGCGTGTAATTATTCCAGTAAAATTATTTCAGTAATTAATACAGTAAAATAAGTTTTCTTCTTAAGATTATTTGTCAAATATCAGTGTTGCCAATGAGAAAATACGAAAAAAATGTACACCATTTTTACGTGAATATGATCAATTACTTGAAGTGAACACAAAAAATCAAAATATTCATTACTTTGAAGTTGAAAAATAAAACAAATTTTAATGAAGAGTTGGAAAATTTCTGTCAGAACTATTGGCAACACTGTGGAGTGTAAAATGATTTCGCGGCGGGAATATTAACCTATCACAATTTACTTTTGTTGTTAATCATTGAATAGTTTATCAGTATATATTGAACGATTTTTAATAATGTTTAAACCTGGTTGTATCAGAAAGATTGAAGTTAAAAATTTTGTTACGTATTCTCACGTGGAACTATATCCTGGGCCCCATTTAAATATGTTAATTGGTCCCAATGGTACTGGTAAATCAACAGTGGTAGCAGCTATAATTTTAGGACTTGGTGGAAATCCAAAAATTGTTGGAAGAGGTAGTAAAGTTTCAGAATATGTCAAGCATGGATGTGACTCTTCCACAATAAATATTTACTTAGAGAATGAAGCAGAAAATCAGTATATTAAAGTTACTCGAGAATTTGATGTTCGTGAAAGGACTGTTTGGAAACTGAATAATAGAATAGTGAAATTTGAAAATGTAATAGAATGCATACAAAACTTCAATATTCAGGTAAATAATCTTTGTCAGTTTTTGCCACAAGATAGAGTTCAGGACTTTGCTAAATTGAACAAACAAGAACTTTTGATAGAAACTCAGAAAGCACTATGTAAATTTGATTTAATAGACAAACAAGAAATGCTCATTCTACATAGAGCTTCTCAAAAAGAAATCCTTGAATCAATTGATTCATATCAGAAAAAGCTTCAAAATGCCACCGAATTTAATTCCAGACTAGAAGGTCGAGTCCAGAGTTTCAATAAGAAGAAAAAATTTGCTGAGAATATTCAACATATTGAAAGAAAAATTGCTTGGACTTCGTATGAACAAATAAGAGTTCAACTATCAGATATAAAGGAGGATCGAAATAAGGCCCAAGAAGTATATGACAAATATAAAAATGATATGAAACCAATGGAAAGGGACATCAATGAAAATAAGAAAAGTATCACAGAACTACAACAAAGCAACTCTTCAATTGCTCAGATTATAAGAAATACAGAGTCATCTATCAATATGAATTTGGAAAAAATTGACACAGTGAAAGATTCGATTAGAAAATTTAATGATGATATGAATTCTAGACTAGCTGAAGTTGAACAGTGGGATAGAGAAATAGAGAACGCTTCTGCAAAATTAGAAGAAATGAGACAATTAAAAAGTGAAATGTTTGCTAAGTATGCTTCTGGTAAGTCTAAGTCTTCCAATTCTGGCCATACTTGGTATGATGAAAGGGTAATCTGAAGATTTCTGAATTTCTTGTTATTTCGATTTACAAGTTATAAGTTCAACAAGTTCCGGAAAATTAGCGCTACAATTGATTATTTTGTGAACTAGTGTACATCTTGTCAAAACTAGGAAGAGACTTGAGAATTCTTCCTCTGTCTCTCTCAGTCTCCTAACAAAAGTGCATCTTAGGGGAGGTCGTAAGCCGAGACTTTGAAGTCGCTTCCTAGATTTGACAAGCAATAAGATCTGATTCTAATCTTCTAAGAGCCAGGGTATTCAAGTAAATGTCCAATATAGTTTTATATTATAATTACCAATATGATATTCCAGTTTCTATGAAGAGTACCTTGAAAACTTGGTAAACAGTATAATGGTTGGACACCAATGAGCTACCCAATCGCTTCCCAAAGGTGACAGGACTGATTCAAATGTCACTTATTTCTATTATATTGAATAAGTATCCACTGAAAAATTACAGTTATAAAAACGGACAAAACTTTTGATACACAACCTTATATGAGAGAATCAATAATTACAGAAACGCAAATATAATGATCTTCAGATTATGGGTGTCCTTTATTATTATTTCCTCATCATGTTATGAATGGACAATTTGAAAGCTACAATATATGGGAAAACCTGTAATCCAATTTGTAAGAACGTCATCTAACTCGGACGTTGGAGAGATAAATTGTGGAGTACCTCAAGGCTCTGTGTTAGGTCCTATAGTGTTTCTGTTATACATTAATGATTTGACTAACATATCGATTACAGGAAGCTTTACCTAGTTTGCTGACGACACCACATTAGTGTGGCATGACAAGGACGAAAACAGATTGCATAACAAAATGTGCCAAGGCATGAAAAAAGTGAAGAATTGGTTTGACTTGAATCTTTTATCATTGAATACCAGCAAAACAAATATATTAGCATTCAAGTGTAATATACCCGATATCCCTGTAGACAATAACACAATAAAAAATAACTCCACTTTAAAATTTTTGGGAATTTATTTAGATGAAAATTTAAAAGTCTCTCAGCACATCAACAAAAAATTGGCATCAGGATGTTTCGCACTGAGAAACATCTCAAAGGAACTGGGGTTTGCTGCAGCGAAAGTAGTGTACTATGCCTTAATAGACTCTCATCTAAGGTATGGTATACCCTTTTGGGGTGTTTGCAGTAAATAACTTATGCAGTCGGTTTTTCTCCTTCAGAAAAGAGCTATTAGGTACTTATGTAAAGTGAAATGGCGGGATTCATGTAAACCTTTTTTTCGAGAACTTAGAATCCTTACGGTTATTTCAATATTTATATTGGAAACCGTATCAATTGTACATAAAAATAGAGAGAACTATGAATCTACAGCTACAGCCACATAACACACAAGACTGTCAAATGAACTGAATCTACCAATTCCAAAAATATGTTTCATCATATTCAGAAAGAAATGTAGAAAACTATTAAGTGATAAAAACTATTATGACCTACAAAAATCTTTCGACGATGCCCTGTAATTTAGAATGTATGGAAATGGCGGTTGTACTGTGTGTGAAAGACATATTTTTATTCGTTGTCCTAATTCTTTTTATGTAACCTTTGCATATGTATGTATACAGTGTGTAACAACGAAAAGTTAACAGACCGTTTTTGAATATAAAAAGTAAGATTTTTAAAAAAGCTCGGACAACTCGATTTCTAATTAAAGGGGGACACCTTTCAGACTAATCAGATTTTTTGTAGTACGCACCCCTTCGGAAGGGTGCGTCCGACGACCCTTATTTAGATAGGGAAAGTAGGTCGAGTGGCACCTTGTTTTAAAGGTCTTTCGAATACCTTTACAACTCTG